CTAGGATTGGCAGAGAGCATGCATATTCCTTTATATAAAGGGAAGGGGGGCAAAAGAGATTGTAAACAATTATAGAGGAATTAAGTTACTGAATATCACCAAGGAAAAGTGTACGGTAGGGTTATAATTGAAAGAATTAGGAGTGGTAAGACAGAATGTTAGGATTGCAGATGAGCAAGGAGGTTCAGAGTGGGTAGGGGAGTGTAGATCAAGTGTTTTACATTGAAGCATATATTTAAACAGTAATTTAGATAAAGGGTAGGAAGTTTATTATTTCCATTATGGATTTAGAAAAGGCATATCATAGAGTGACAGGGGAGCAATGTGGCGATGTTGCAAGTATATGGAATAGGTACAAAAAGCTGTAAAAAGTTTTTATGAGGATAGTGAAGCTCAGGTTAGGGTGTGAGAAGAGAGGGAGACTACTTTTCCCGGGAACAATAGGTCTTAGACAGGGATGTGTAATGTCACCATGGTGTTTAATTAAAATATTTTATAGATTGGGTTGTTAAAAGAATTCAATGCTAGGTGTTTCGGGAGGAGGGGTGGGTTTAAATTATGGGGAATCAAATACAAAATAGGAATTGACACAGTTGCTTTTTGCTGATGAAACTGTACTTATGGGAGATTCTAAAGTGAACATAGAAAAGAGTAAGGTGTGAGGGTATCAAATGATTTAGATAAAAGAAAAATTGGATTTCGAATTGGGGAGGAGTATGGAAGAAGTGAATGTTTTCAGATACTTGGGAGTTGACGTGTCGGCGGATGGATTTATGAAGGATGAGGTTAATCATAGAATTGATGAGGAAAAAAAAGGTGAGTGGTGCGTTGAGGTATATGTGGAGACAAAAAACGTTATCTATTGGAGGCCAAGAAGGGAATGTATGAAAGTATAGTAGTACCAACACTCTTATATGGATGTGAAGCTTGGGTGGTAAATGCAGCAGCGAGGAGACGGTTGGAGGCAGTGGAGATGTCCTGTCTAAGGGCAATGTGTGATGTAAATATTATGCAGAAAATTCGGAGTGCGGAAATTTAGAAGAAGGTGTGGAGTTAATAAAATATTAGTCAGAGTGCTGAAGAGGGGTTGTTGAGGTGGTTTGGTCATTTAGATAGAATGGATCAAAGTAGAATGACATGGAGAGCATTTAAATCTGTAGGGGAAGGAAGGGCGGTGTAGGGGTCGTCCTCGAAAGTTTGGAAGGAAGGGGTAAGGGAGGTTTTGTGGGCGAGGGGCTTGGACTTCCAGCAGGCGTTGCATGAGCATGTTCGATAGGAGTGAATGGAGACGAATGGTACTTGGGACCTGACGATCTGTTGGAGTGTGAGCAGGGTAATATTTAGTGAAGGGATTCAGGGAAACCGGTTATTTTTATATAACCGGACTTGAGTCCTGGAAATGGGAAGTACAATGCCTGCACTCTAAAGGAGGGTTTCAGGATATTAGCAAGTTTGGAGGGATATATTGTGTATTTTTATACGTATATGCTTCTAAACTGTTGTATTCTGGGCATCTCTGCAAAAAACAGTGATTATGTGTGAGTGAGTTGAAAGTGTTGAATGATAATGAAAGTATTTTCTTTTTGGAATTTTCTTTCTTTTTGGGGTCACCCTGCCTCGGTGGGAGACGGCCCGACTTGTTAAAAAAAAAATATACAGTACCCACTAGGTTTTTCCCTCTTGTCTCTCCTGATGTATGTCTTTAAAACACAATGAGCTGTTTGCTGTCATCTCGCGTGTCGTAAGAATTAGTGTATATATACTTAGTAATTGTTATGATATATGCGCACATAGTAATTTTATTGCCATACAGGTTTATACCCTTTTTTACCGTCTTTGCCATGTTTGTCATTTCTATTCCTGGCAAGTTGCTAGATCTTGACATTTTAGCACGGTTTGCAACCGTTATAAAATATATATATATATATATATATATATATATTATATTATATATATATATATATATATATATATATTATATATATATATTATATATATATATATATATAAGTGGATAAAAAGGCTTCAAGGAAGAATATTTGGATTTCTTCCTGAAGCTATTTGAATATTCCACTTCCTCTACCACCCCATCTTTTCATTCTGTTTTTTTTTTTTTACCAATAGGAATATTTTATTACATAATATGGTACAGAGGATTTAAGAGATACATTGTTGATATAAAGGTGGCATATACGGTACATTTGTTACGTGTGTATCACCGATTATAAGGCGAAAATATCATCCAGCTCCTCAGAGCTGGAGCTGTGTGCCCAAAATACAGCAGGCATTACCCCTTTGAACAGCCGCAATGAGCGCTGGAACAGAAAACTAGCTGCTCTGAGATCCCTAGTTACCTGATGAGTCTTTTCCCAGTCCTTAAGGAATTTAGATGCACTCTTTCCCCATGAGCCAAGAGTCTCTGAGCCTATGAGAACAAACATATAGTGATGGGCAAGTTCTCCATATTTTCTAGACTTTTGGGACTCCCTGAAGCTGGCAGCTGCCCCTCCTTCCTCCCTGGTGTATTGGAGATAGGTATCAGCCAAGGTAGATGCACATGTATGGTCCCACACAACCTGCTTCCCATCTGTCCAGGCTTGAAGGATGATACCATCTGGACGCTTCTGGCTGCCATCAGATCTGCATAGCTGGGGTGGCTCCCTTACTTCTGGGCATCCGACTGTTGTGAGGCTCCTCTTGATAATGTTATTAACCTCCTCATGTCTTGCAATCTTTCCCTCGGATTTACGGCACACAAGACCATGGTACCCGAATCGGTCTGCTGCTTCACTGCCACAAATACACCTGTGTTCGGCGAGAATAGGGGCGGCAAGTCGAAGGGCAACACCGATGCGGATGGTCTGTGGGTCGAGGCGTGTGCCAAGGCTGGAGTTGGGAACCAACAGAAAGTTTCCTGCATGAGGGACTTTCACTGCCAGGAGGCAGGCTCTATCCTTCCCTGACACACTCTGAAGCATTGTTGAGGCTATATTTTCCACTATTGGACCATCCCAGTGCGATTGTTTGTAGTTGTTGGGGGGAAGCAGGTCTGGTTTCAGACCCCGTTAGATTATCCCAGATCATGGCTCCGCCAATGAACTTTTGGCCCTGACTCCAATCTTGTCCGTAAGATGTTCAGGGAGAATCGCTGCTACAAGCCTACAAGCCCCCTATATATATATAGGAAGGTACCACCTCTATAACTGGACTGGGGACCCTCATCCTCAGAGAAGACAATAAACGTACCTCAGGGAACACTCAAGGAGTGTGTGTGTGTGTGTGTTAGTTACCATTTTGTTACCATTTTGTTATAGGCACATGTCGATTAGACACTAGGCCTGTTGTATATGCGCGTGTGTGCGTGTGTGTGTGTTGTGTGTGTGTGTGTGTGTGTGTGTGTGTGTGTGTGAGTGTGTGTGCTGTGTGTGTGTGTGTGCTGAGGTGTGTGCGTGTGTGTGTGTGAGGTGTGTGCGTGTGTGGTGTGGCGCGTGTGTGTGGGCGTGGGTGGTGTGTGTGGTGTGTGTGGTGTGTGTGTGTGTGTGGTGTGTGTGTGTGTGTGTGTAGTGTGTGTGTGTGTGTACTCACCTAATTGTGGTTGCAGGGGTCGAGACTCAGCTCCTGGCCCCGCCTCTTTACCGACCGTACGTAGTTGTGTACGCAGATGTCGAGTCGTAGCTCCTGGCTCTGCCTTTTAATATCGACTGCCTTGCTGATTTCTAGCCTCTAGGGTCAATTATACTCCTTGAATCTGTGTACAGTGTTTGCCTCCACCACCACCTCATCTGATGATGGTAGCGATAATGGTAGGGATGGTAGTGATAATAGCAATTAAATACACGATGCAATTGTGTGTATGTGTTAGTTAGTTACCATTTTGTCCTAGGCACATGTCGATTAGACACTAGGCCTGTTGTATATGAGCACGTGTGTGTGTGTGTGTGCGTGTGTGTGTGCGTGTGTGTGTGTGTGTGTGTTGTGTGTGTGTGTGTGTGTGTGTGTGTGTGTGTGTGTGTGTGTGTGTTGTGTGTGTAAAAATACATCTCATAATATTTATCACTGAACTGCATTTTATGGTGTCAGTGGCGCAGTAACGGTGTGCAGCTGTATTAGCTGCACCACCAACTGTTCTATTAGCATCTGTCCTCTCTCGTATGTAGGATTCTTGTTTACTTTCAGAAATGCGACCATTACATAAAATAACTTTTCCAGATTATCTACCATTATAAACGTTTTTATTCCGGTAACTCCTACCCCGCAAACAAGCCTTGTTCCAGCAGGTCTTATACAAATCAGTATTACTGTAGTGCATCTGTTGCAGTGCATCTTTAATCATTTGATCTTACTCCAAGTCTAATCCCATATAGTCCTCAATAGGTTTTTATCTCGGCAAGCCTTGCTCAGTGTCACATTCAGCAGGTTTTATTCTAATACGTAGAATTTTTAATATTTTTTTTCCTGGGCTGAAAATCCAAGTGGTGTACATGTGAAATCACAAAAAAAATATATATATATATATATATATATATTCTCCATACTTGGTGTAAGAAATTATCTGATACGGGTCATGATTTACACCTAAGTTGCGCCTTTAAATATAACATGACCATTCGGTCTCTGACAAATATAAATAACAGTTGAAGGAAAGTTCATTGGTGAGAAAGTTTTTCTGATTAGAGTGGCAACATTTACAATAGGAGATTTACACCAGTGATTACGAATCTTTATATGAACAATTATACCAGTGGTTACAAGCCTTTAAATAACGTTTATACCAATGGTTTTTGGCCTTACATATGAACATTTAGATTTTTATCTCAATGAAACTAAATATATTTACTCTTCAATCATTTCTGCCAGACATAATCACGAAGCTAAAGCATAAATAAATCTAACAATTGTAGTATTGTTCTGACACATTTCCAAAGAATAGGCTTCGTTTTACTTGCCAGTGATAGTCATCAAAACAGTAAATAACAAAAGGACTTCTTGAACTCTCACAGATACGAGTCATCCGAGCTTTCCAGTCCGGGCTTGAAGACTGTGTGGACTCGGAAAAAACTTGTCGAGACAGAAAGCGAAACCTGGGAGGTCGTCAGGGAGGAACCAGAGCAGCAGAACTCGACCGCGACTCCATCGATCTCTTCATTGACTCCGAAGAGTTTAACATGCCGGAAATCGCCGGATCCCGATAGAGGAGCCCTCTTGATAAAGGTAAAATTTTCAATAGTAAATTCCGCAGTAATTTCCCTTCTGGCTGTCCTCCTTTCATGGTAAATGATACTCCTGCCATTATGTATTGGAATAACTCATTACCACTGTAATAAATCCAGCAAGTGATCGTTAAGACAGTTTCTAGACCAGTAATTTTTAGCGTGCTGCCCACGGGATGGATATTGGGTGCATAATGCAGTTACTAAATAAAATCAACTTTGCAGGTACAGGAGGTGGACAGCCAGTCACACTCGAGGAGAAGAGGACTTCCACCCCTGAACTTGAACTAAATATGCCAGTGTTAATGCCCATGGGACGTGTTCAATGAACAGTGAGCCACGTTCAACACCCATGGGACATGTTCAGTAATCAGACAAACTCTCTGTTGTTGTACAAATATTATATACTTTATGTGAAGCGCCAAACCCGTGTATCATTCATCACAAGGGTAGTGGTAAAGGCTCGATCCTCCGTCCATTAACTGAGAGACAGACACTAACTGAAGGACTTTAGAGTGCACTGGTGGCCCTATCAAAGCCTCACATTTAGACTAAAATTTTTCAAACGATGTCTGAAAATAATATATGCAATGTATCTGCCATATAAAATAATTGTAAAAATATTTTATGATTATCACTACAATTAAAATTACAATACTTCAAATTCATTTTGCTACAAACTTGAATTAACATTGAAGCTGGTCTTTCAATTCTTTTATTTGCTTCTTTTACTGTTAGGCTTCTCATAGTGAGCACAGTGATTCAAGTACAGTATTTATTTTTCATGCAAGACGAAAGGAAAGTATTTCTCTGAATATTCATGGTTCACTGTACCTAGTGGATGGAGTAATCATATTCTGTATGGACACTCTTAACTTAAAACATTTCCTGACATAATGTGATAGCTAAATGTAAAGAAAAAAACTTCTTAATTGATTAATCACGCCTTTCTTTGTAATCTCTCCAGACACGGTGGGTCAATTGTACAATGCAAAGGCAACACTTGGGTATCTTCAATGAGGAAACGTTTCGCCAAACAGTGGCTTCATCAGTCCATACAAAGGAGAATGGTAAAGAACAGGAAGAGTTTGAGGTAATCAGTCCCTCAGCCTTGAGTCGATGTGGTTAGTCCATTAATCTTCCTGTTTTTCACCATTCTCCTTTGTATGGACTGATGAAGCCGCTGTGTGGCGAAACGTTTCCTCATTAAGGATTTCCAAGTGTTGCACATGTGTCTAATTCATCAACTTGTCGGTTCTCTGAACCATTCATCTACATTCACTATGAAAAGGGTTTACCCGGTAAGCCTATTATATTTTTCTGTTAACCAATGGCTGTTTGTATGCATTCCATATTAATATAATTGTGTTTTTAGTTGTTTTATAACACTTAATTTCCTGCGTATGCTGCAGTTTGTATTATCGCATAAGATGCGTTTCTGGTATGGGTGTGTTTAAGAGGTATTATCATAACTTTTCTCTGACAATCAGCTCGAGGAAGAAACTTTACAACGCATCATTATCGTATCCACATTATTATCGCATCCGAGACAATCAGGTTTTCATGCAAGGAGGATAAGCAGTGTTAATTCTTTGGATCAAATGCCTTTCGCCGGCGTCATGGAAACCCCTCTTCCCCACCGCACTGTTTCCAGAGCCGAAAGGAACGTTTGAGGGACAGTAATTCAGTATTTATTGTTGAAATGCGGATTACTATACCACAGTGCGTACAAATAAAACATTTTCTGAAGATGACGGGCTGGTCCATGATGCTTTGTAGTAAGTTGCTGAAATTACTGAGAACGTGAAGAAAAATTTTGTTTTTATTATGACATCAAAACAATATCCTGTGCCGAACGAGTTTGTCAGCTAACTAAACCTGCTTGGTATTAATATATTGGTATTAATATATTAAAAATATCAAGTGCTAAACCCGTATTGGTACTAAAAGTGCTCAAAATGTTACTCTCATCCGACACTGGTATATGATCGTCTGTGACAGGTTTAGCGATTATCAAGACGATCAGGTCTGCTGCTCGGGTGTCACGTTCTTCACACAGTATAATCTACTACCAGGTTCATCAGTCATCAGAAATGTTGTGGTTATTTTTATAAGGCAAAGCATGTATTCCTCTACATAACTTGTAAATAAGAATATATATTATATATATATATATATATATATATATATATATATATATATATATATATATATATATATATATATATATATATATATATATATGTCGTGCCGAATAGGCAGAACCTGCCATCTTGGCTTAAATAGCAAGGCTCATCATGCCATATAGGACAAGTGAAAATTTGTGTATGCAACAATTTCGCCAAAATCATTCTGAACCTAACGAAAAAAAATATATTTCACTGTGTTTGTTTAGTATTAAATTACTGTAAACAAATCTAAAATATATTTAGTTGGGTTAGGCTAAAATAAATTGTTCTTGTTATAATAAGGTTAGGTAAGTTTTCTAAGATTCTTTTGGAGCAAAATTAAAATTTTTTACATGAACTTTAATGAAAAAAATATATCTTTAAACGTATAAGAGAAAGTTTTAAAAAGGACTAAATTTTAAATGAGTTCTTGCTAATTGACCAGTTTTACATATTCGGCACGACATATATATATATATATATATATATATATATATATATATATATATTATATATATATATATATATAATATATATATATATATATATATATCATAATAAACATCTTAGAAACAGTACAAATATGCACCGCCAGTAGTAATATTAAATTGATAGAAATTGTGGAAATTTGTGAGTGCTTGTTTGATACGAGGCGGTTGCTGCTTTCACAGATTAGTTGAGGTGATAATCTTATTCCTACAAATTCCCTGTAAATTTATTCTTTCTGGGATAAAAATGGATGAAGGACCAACTGGACCAGCGTCACCTGTGCACAAACATGGAGCGGACCTACTGGAGGTGTGGAGACCGTTCTTACCATAGGTCTTCCCCGAAGGTTAACTCCTAGAAAGGTTGACCCTAAAGTTAATCGTCTTGGAATATTAACCCCCATGCTGGTGATGACTTGTTATCAGTAAATGCAAGTTTAATGAGGGATCTGTAGCCTAAAGGCAAAAATAACAATTAATCCTATAAACCCCGGGATAACTGATCAATTTGAGGTGCTTACCTCTCTAATTTTATATAATTTTTTGAAGAGGTGGACCAGTGGAACTTTTGGTCAGATGACCAAAAGTTTCAGTGGCGGGTCATATGACTAAGACCCGAGTCAGGAAACATTTGTCCTGTTTCGTGACGAGTCCTACCTAACCTAACTGCCTCAATCATACCTTTGTTTAATGATAATCTATATATTGTGTGCTATACTACAAGACAAATTGTTCAATCACCAATGATCAGTAACAACACATTCTGACGCTCAGAGACAATGGCCTATTTCGCTGGTTAAGTATTTCCCAGATCGTCTCTGCACTTCTGTTGTTCATAGTTTCGCCAGGTAGTTATTTTGGCGAACAAGAGTGGTGTTTATAGGGTGCTGACACACACACACACACGTACACATACACTATCACAGCTCGAATTCCGAGAAGCTCCGACCCGCCCTCCCGTAGTTTAAAATTATATCATGGCAGTTCCCGCCTTTGTCTAATGGGATCTACTACATCTGTTGTATGAGCTACCATGGGCAGTAATTTGCTGATGATTCTAATGGTCTTGATGTCATTTATTTCAACCCTAAACATCCTAAATCACTCTGCGTTCTTAGGTGAATCGAAACTACCAAACCAAGTGGCCAGTTTGCCTTCGACGTTTCACATTCCACTAATATAAGATTCGCTGGGTTCAATTTTAGCCGAGTACTCTCCGGATCACCAATGTAAAAGGGGTCTCTTAAGTCTATTGTAATCATCACTCAATACTTAATTCACTTCTCTCACACCTTCATCAGTTTACTATAGTTCCTAGACTATCGTAGTCCCCTGGGGCTACGATAGTCTAGGTCTTCAGGTGACCTGGTCAACACTGTAGAAAAGAGTTTGATTCTTCTAAAAAGCATATGGTTGAGAGTGAAAGTTTTTAATTCCTCAAGTTCATTCCTTACACAAGTTAGGGGTCTGTTATTTATTTTTGCCTTGATTTCTGCTAGAACTGTTTGCAACTCCTCGGCATTCACTCTTTCACCATGCTGCATCGTTTTGCCGTACCTACCACTCTCTCATAGAAACAGCCCTGCCAATATGCTCGCGGTGCTATGACCTACCATTCGCACTGTTCCACAGGAGAAATGCAAACGTGCACCTTTCGAGGGTATCTCTCCCCATTCTCTTGATTTGTTTTTCTTGTGATCGTGCCTGTGTAATCTATACCTACAGTTACATCCAGTTTCTCTGTACATTTCCTGGGGTAGTGGTGGTAGCCTTCGACACTTCAATGTTCTGCCATCATATCGCCGGCAGATGCTGCAACCTTTGGGCTTATTTTTTCTGCTGCAGGGCCTCGGTTACCCAGTAATTTAGGCGTTGGTATGTAAGGTTTCTACCATTCCACGCACTTCCAGCACCATTAAATTAGTCAACCAACCATCCAGTTTCTAAATACTGGATGTTCAGTATCATACTGATCTTTGTCTTATGTAGGGTTCCTTTACATTATCAGCTCTGCGTGATACACGAAGAACCCTGAAACGTGAATAAGTTTACGGGGCCCGAGGGTTCTTGGGAGCAACTATAGTCCTTCCACTTCACTTGCTCTACCAGTTGCTAATAGCACTAGAATTTCTGGATATGCCTGTGTTTCATTTTGCAGGATTCAGTAAACTTGTGGTCAAGCAATGGGCAACTTATGTCCGCATCTCACTTTGGTGTACGGTTTACTGACAAAGCAGAAGACATATTCAACGACCCTGATTAATTTCCTTATTGAGGAGAACTTGGTGGATTGAATAATTCAGCTGACAACACCTCTATTTTCTTCACGACTTCTACCACAAGGCAAGATAACTCCTCAAATTTCTGCTCGGGCCAGTCATTCTACGATACCAACCAGAGCTCAGACTTCCTTAATTTCTTATCAGTCATTCCTCTGCTATTTAAATGAGCTAGAATCTAGTCAGTGGGCACCTGCAAGACCCTGAAGTCTGACTGCAGTTCTCTGATTTCTTTCACCCTATTTCTGATACTAGATAATTTAAAATTGTTTTAATCCATTGCAAGGTTAGCTCCGAGTCTGGTGAAACAGATGTGGGTATTACATTCTAGTGTATTCAACAGTATATTCACATATTTATTTAACTTCAATTCTGGTAACAATGCAGTTAACTGCAACTTTAGTTTGGAGCATTCCATTAGAGGCGCAACTTGTACGTGGCTGGCAACAATATTCGCATGAGTATCAGACTCCAGATGAGCTGCTACCACGTATGGCAGTGATGAGGCATTGCAGAATAAATGCAAATTATAATCTCTCCCCGATCTTCTGAGTGGTCTGAGAAACATAAACTCGCTCAATCTTTAGTCCTTTGTTGACGTTATTTCATTCATGACAGAAGGATTCAGGAAGCTGGTTATCCCAACCTACTTTAAAGTCGCATGCACTAACACCCTCAAACTGACAGATTGAGCATCATTCCCAATAGATCAAAAATGGCTTGATTACGGGAAATTTGTAAGTGAGAGATATGTAGCCCAAAGATAAAGTTAGCAATTAATTCCTATTATAACTAAGCCTAACATTCTCTTCACACAGATCATTCTCGGCATAAGCTAAGTGTGAATTCCTTGTATATTTTTCGTGTGGTTTACCCACGGCATTGACGAAAAATCCTTGGACAGTGTGTAAAGTTTATGCAAACCATTTTCCGATTTCTAGAATGGATTTTTTGGTTTTCAGTTGTCACGGGACTTGTGAACCTTTATCAGGAGATTATGAAGGAGGTTTTAAGTGGCAGGGGCTTGAGCATCCAGTAGGCGTGTGTGGATGTAAATGGTTTTGGGGATGTGAGGTGCCGCTGAAGAATATACAAGGTAGAATCTCGGAAGTTCAGGGTAACTCATAAAAGGTTTAATTAAGCGGTATAATATTCTGGCAGTTAATTTATAAAGAAGCCATTGACTGGCAGTTCTGGTATGACAGTGAAGTGCATGTTATCACATTATAAAAAAATATAATATCTGACGGCACATAATGGTAAGTAATCTACTTTCATATAAGCGTTAAGATTATAAATTAACTATTTTGAGTTATATATTATATATATATATATTATATATATTATATATAATATATATATATATATATATATATATATATATATATTATATATATATATATATATATATATATATATATATATATATAAATTATTTTATATATATATAATATATATATATATATATATATATATATACATATATATATATATATATATATATATATATATATATATATATATATATATATATATATTATGTATATATATATAAATTATTTTCTATTTCTTGTCAGTGGTAATAAAAACACCGCATAAGGGCAAGCCTTTATGCTAGACAATGTTTGACTTGGCCTGACCAGTAAAGGGATATGGCATCACTGAAAGGGGAGAAAATGTAATTTTTTAAAATAAATGCTTGTCCTTAATGTGTCCCCCTCTTCCCCCACGTTTCTGTAGGTAATCTTTATGTGTTAATCCTGTAAATACACTAGTATGTGTGTATAAAGCTTACTGGTATTATTAATACGAGTGCGGGATGTACACTTGTATGAGTAACATTAACTGCATTTTTGTTGTTGTTGTTGGTGAAAAATTCTATGGTTAATATAAATTTTTCAAGTGTTAATTATGTTATTACTGCTGTACAACGAGTTTCCTAATATATATATATATATATATATATATATATATATATATATATATATATATATATATATATATATATATATATATATATATATATATATATATATATATATAGCAATGCAGCCATTCGAATGGAATGAGTCTTCGTATGATTTTTTCGGAAATTTCATAAATGTGACATCACATACAATTTACTTTTTGTATTTTGTCCTAAAATGTACTTAGTAAATAAAATAAATTATTTTAGTGTGAGTTTTATTGCAAC